TGGCAGGTTATATGATTTCTTTTATAACTCTGTCCTTGTAGCATGAAATCAATCATAGATAATCTGTAAACTAATGTGTGTGCATGTGTTCCAATAAACCTTTATTTACAGACACTGAAATTTGAATTGTAGATAATTTTCACATATTGCAAAATATTTTTTATCATTATTATTTAACTCTTTAAAAATGTAAAAACCATTTTTACTTTGTGGGCCATACAAAAACAGGCAATAGGGCAGATTTGGCCTATTGGCCATGGTTTTACAACCCCTATTATAGGTTCTTGACATAGGGATGTGAAGTAGACTGAATAAAGATCCCTGCCCTCATGCAGCTTACATGCTAGCAATGAGGCACCAGATAATAAACATAATGACCAATTTAATACACTAAAGGTGATAGGTGCTATTAAAAAAAATAGGAAATAAAGGAGAGAAAAAGAGATATACTCTGAGAGGAGGTGATGGGAATGAACCTCTGGAGAGCTGTTTAGTAGTGTGACTTTCTTGGTGTTCTGTACTGCTAAGGAGAAGCCACAAGTGCCATGGGGTACAAGTGGACATTCTTATGGGGAAGTCTCTACTTGTATCCCTATCATTCAAGTCAAGGGACTGCATATCCTTATTAATTTGGTTCTTATGAGCCCTCCTCATCATTATTTCCTAGTTCATCTTTTCCTTTTCCATAGGATTCGGGCCAATAAAATCTCTTATTCCAGTGAAAGAAACATAGCATATTTTTATTCTTATTAATAAAGCTAGAAATCTTGCCTCAAAGATAAACTATGTCTTATATTTGCACAAACAAAAATATATGAAAATAAATAACTTCTTCAGAGAACATTTATTATTTTGGGAGTGGATTATATTTTTGTCACCAGTTACAGTTCCTGCTAACAGTCACCAACTAATTATTAAGCACGTAGTATTAGCTTCAAACCCTTCATTGACTTCCCATGACACATTAAATAAATCCAGTGTCCTTCACTCTGATTTATAAAGCCCTGAGTGATCTGATCCCTCCCCATCCTATAGAACATCATCTTCCTTCACCAACTACACTTCCAGGTTTACAGATGTTTTTTCAAATTCTCAAATATGGTAAACTTGTTCCTGCTTCAGAGCTTTGCGCTACCTGTTCCCTATGCCTTATGCCAACAATCGTATTTCTCTACATATAACCTGGTTTTCCTTGTCATAAGAAAGGACTGGCCAGGCACGGTGGCTCACACCTGTAATCCTAGCACTCTGGGAGGCCAAGGCGGGAGGATTGCTCAAGGTCAGGAGTTCAAAACCAGCCTGAGCAAGAGCAAGACCCCTTCTCTACTATAAATAGAAAGAAATTAATTGACCAACTAATATATATAGAAAAAATTAGCCGGGCATGGTGGCTCATGCCTGTAGTCCCAGCTACGCAGGAGGCTGAGGCAGGAGGATTGCTTGAGCCCAGGAGTTTAAGGTTGCTGTGAGCTAGGCTGATGCCATGGCACTCACTCTAGCCTGGGCAACAAAGTGAAAGGACCACTGGGTGCGGTGGCTCACGCCGATAATCCTAGCACTCTGGGAGGCTGAGGTGGGATGATCACTTGAGGTCAGGAGTTCAGGACCAGCCTGAGCAAGAGCAAGACCCTGCCTCTACTAAGAATAAAAAAAGTAAGCTAGGTATGGTGGCCTGCCCTGTAGTCCCAGCTACTTGGGAGGCTGAGGCAGGAGGATTGCCTGAGCCCAGGACTTTGGGATTGCTGTGAGCTAGGCTAATCCAGGGTACTCTAGCTCAGGCACCAGAGTGAGACTTTGTCTAAAAAGAAAAAGAATGGACCATCCCCATTGTCAGTTTCCCCAACAACTCAATCTAAGCTACCACCAGTGACTCTCATTCACATAACTCGTTTTTATCACTATCTAATATTTTATGTGTGTTTTATTGGTTCTATTTGTTTATCTTCCTCCATTAGAGATGTGAGCAGTGATTTTTGTCTTGCTCACTTCTCAGTCACCTGGCCTTAGAATAGTGTCTGGCGTATATTAGACACTCAATAATTAGTTTTTGAACAAATTACTAAAAGAATGCACACGTAAATTCATGCCACATGCCCAACACTCTGATAAACATCAGTAATGGAGGCTTCCTTGGACTCGTATTCTGCTCTACTTGTCCCCTTCCTTACTTCCATACACAGCATAGTTTCTTGGAGAAGTCATCGATGTTCTATTATTTAGCATCTTTCTACTTACAGTAAACTTGTTACAATCTGGCCTGTGATTCTGCCCCTCAACAGAAACTGCTCACAAGTTTCCATGTGCCAACAGCTTCCTGATTGCTAAGTTTAGTGAATTTCATGGTTTTCATCTTATGTAATCCATTAGTGGCTTTTAACAATTTCTTCCTTCAAACATCATCTGTTCTACCTTCACATCCGTGACATGATCTCTTTTGATTTTATTTCTTTCCCTTAAACCACATATGCTTGTGGCTGTAATTTTATGTCACATCAAATAATATAGCTATCTTTGCAGGTGGAAAAATATTTCTACTTAATAATTTCATGTCTTCCCAGTGCTCTACTACCTGAAGAAATTTGTGAACCACTGCAATGAATGATACATGGCTTATGTGCATATTTGTTAAAACTCTGTTTAATGATTTTTAAGCTCATCTTAATTTACAGACCACATTTATAATTGGAGAATATAAGACATTGCTAGTTGCATTTTTTTATTATGTCCCAATTGATAATAGCTGATGTTGTAAACTCCATTTTGTGATTGTTTTCAGTTGAAAAGATTGTTCCAGGTTATTGTTCTCTTCCAATTTTCCGTTTTAGGGAATAGGAGCTGAAAGTAAAGTTGTTTGAAGAAGAGTTTCTAACGTATTTATTATTTTCCTGTGTCAAGGAACTATGACCTTCACATACCACCTGTTTGCAACATTAAACAACAAAATTAGCTGGCAGACTAGCAGTACTTGTTAAAGGGTCCCGGTAAAGAACATAAGAAATAAACTGATCCAAGTTTATGCCCATCCTTACCTCTTTTCTTCCAGTCTCCAAAAAGGATGGGAGGTACAGCGATTAGGTTTTTCTCCTCCTGTTTAAAGCTCCTGCCTCCTCAGGAGTCCTGCTCTACCCATTGTCTCCTTTCTCTCTGTTTTCAACTTCTCTATCTCTACCAGCTTTCTCACATGCTCACATCTTTCCTATTGTAAAAACAGACTCCAACAAATCCCCCTCCTAGGTACTGCCTCATCTTAACATTTTTTATTGTAAAATGTAATATACATATTGAAAGATATATAAAATATATGTGTACAAATTAATAAATTAGTTATATAACACACACCCAAGTAACTATGACCATGTTCAAGAAATTGAAAATTGCAGCTACACCAAAATCCTCTTGTGTGCTGTTCTCTCCTCGCTGAAACCAACCATCATCCTGGCTTTCATGAGTGATGATTTCTTTGTTCTTCTTTATAGTTTTGCCACCTTTGTATGCATTCTTACTCTTCAACCTCCTGCCTTCTACTCTTCCTAGAAGACTTCAAAATTCTCACAGTAAGGTTATCTGTAAATAGTTGCCACTTCTAATGGATGTTTCTGGGCCCTAATCTCACTAGTCCTCTCTGCTATATTTGACATTGTATAATAATAGATCAGTTCATCCTTCTTAAAACTACTCTTTAAGGTCTGTGACTATGTTCTCCTATGTCTTTGCATCCTTTAACCCTTCCTTCTCTGTCCCTTTCATAGGCTCCTCTGCCTGCCCCTTAGATGTTGATGTTTTCAGGGTTCAGTTCTTAGCCCACTGCCACTTTTATACCATCTGTGGCAATCCTGCCCACTCTAGTAATTTCAGCCTTCACTATTATGCAGATTACTTTCAGATGTATTCTTCAGCTCAGACATGATGTTCCCTGAGCTCTAATCCTATGTAGACAACTGCCTGTTGGACATCTCCACCTAGATACTGAACATCTAAGACAGACTTCATTACTTTTTGATCTGAACTGGCTCTCCCTCCTTTTCCTACCTTTCTGAATCATTTGTTTGGCACCATTACCCACTAGTTTACCCAGGTTAAAAGCCTGGAAGGTATCCTGATTTCTCCTTTCCCTCATTTGCCACATCTTTTCAATGACCAAGTGAAACCAGTTTTATTTCCTGATATATTTCCCAAATCTGTTCACTTTTCCCTTTCCTTGTAGTTTAGGCCCTCATCGCCTCCCCTGCAACTTCTAACAGCCACCTCGTCTTTTACACTGCATCTAACCTTCTCCTGCTCATATTTACCCTCCTTATAGCTACAAGCCAAAATGGTTTTTCCAAAATACAACTCTGTTCTGCTTCTACACTTAAAACCAAATAAAGCTCAAGCTCCTTGACATGACTTATAAATAAAGCTCAAGCTCCTTGACATGACTCCATTCTCTTACCCTACTTTCTCCAGCTTTGTCTTCCATTACTCCTGGCTATGTACATTGTACTTTGGCAGCATGTATATTCTTTTTTAGTTTCATGCTATTGCTCGTGCTGTTTCCTCTGCCTAGGGTTCTCCATTTGACTTACTACACCTAATTCTTTGAAAGTAAATTTACACACTCCAGGAAGCTTTCCCTGACCCCTCCTTCACCCCATTTCCTAGTGGGTCCTCCTCACCACTCCATTAATGCCTTATATATACTACTATCACTGTGCTGACGTTGTTTTTGTAATTATCTATTTATATGTCTGTCATATTCTACTTGCCCAACACAGTATTTGGCACAATGCCGAATGGATTGAGGAAGGAGGAAGGAGAGGAAAGCACACATTGACATTAAGAAATAAAAGAATTTTTCTTACCATGTTATACACATTTATACATGGAATCACCTGAATATTTGTCTCCACACTAAACTCTAAGAAGGAGTATTTCTAAGGAATCCCTTACCTATAAAGAGCTCTTTCAGAAACAATGAAGTTTTACTATATTAACAAACCTTACAAATATTCATGTTGCAGACCAAACCTGGACCACCCCAAAAGCCGAAGACCCCTTCTAGACCATCAGCCTTAGCGTATTGCTACATCTGTGCGCAGAAAGGCCATTATGGACACGTAAGTTTGAGTGGTGTTTGGGCATAAAGTATTCTGTTGTCAAGGAGTGGTTTCTGAAAACTGAACTCAAAAAGAATGTAACTCTAAATGCTTACTTTTTTATAAACATTCTGAAGTATGACTTAATATATTTTCAACTGATTTACTTCCCCCATCCCTGCCAGAGTAACAGTTAGAGCATATTCCTCTAATTGTTTTAAATGGACATGAACAAGTTAGACTAACACTAATACAGCTCATAATCAGTTGGACAGATAATAATGGTTAACAGTACGGTAGTAGTTTTCATGAGTTCTTATAATTACTTTGACACAGCTATATGATGATTCTAGATTTTCTACTTACTTCTCTAGTTTTCCCTGGTTCCATATTCAGTCAAATCATTACTCACGTGCAAACCCTGTCATTCACTAGTGGAAGAACAGAGGTACTGCATCATTGATTTGCTCACCTACCCCACAAGTGCCCAGATTCCTTATCCAGCCTTATCCAGTGAAAGGGCCAAACTATGTGTGTTCTAGATGCTGAGGTATCAACACAGAAGAAACTTCTTGCAGTGAGATGGACATGAATCTCTTAGCCAGTTGCCACATTAACTATGAAACAGCAGCAGCTCGTCTCAGAGACAGGATGCAATAAGAATAGGCTCAGAGCCTATATATTCTGGGAATCTTAAGGTAGAGGAGAAAAGGCAGTGGCATAGGAAGTAGAAATTTCTTTTGGAAGGATGATGCATTCTCAGTCTCCAGGTAGGCTTTCAACACCTTAAAAACAAAGATAAACTAATACCAAATCATATCTATGGCAAGACGCAGAAGGCATACAGAGGTGTGGGAGTCCTCAAAATAGGTAGGGATATGAGTGATAGAATGGGGCAGTATTATAGGTTACCTCTTGAATTTCAATCATGGTGGTGTGGACCTTTGGGCTGGAGCCCTATCTTGTAAGGAAAACAGCTGGGAGAAGAAAAAGTGCTGGACAGAGTCCATCAACAGATCAAGTTTATCTTCAATATTGGGGCAGCAGGAACCATGGGGGTAAGGCACAGAATATGAAAGCTAGGATGAGGCTCTGGTCCTCAGATCTAATTTTTGCTCTGTTACTAACTTAACCACATGTCTTGAGCAACCTACTTTTTCTCTTTGGTCCCTAGTTTCTTTATCTACAAAGCAAAGAATTTGTACAGGAAATCTCTCAGCCCTGACATTTGGATACTGTTGCCAGTGTGATCAAATCCATAGTATGGTGATACAGATAGAGACTTCACACTGAAAACCTAATTAGAGAAGACTTTTACAAAGTTACCATCCCTGGATCTTCTACTGCTTTGTGCATTCCTCATTACTAGCATTCAGATGTTGCCAACACCTTTTAGGGAACATATTCACATGAGTGTTCCACTGCCACACAAATCACATAGATGTACAATTTATGTTTGCTTACCTCTTTAAAGCAGAGGGGTATAATTTTAGCATTTATATGTGTTCATTTAAAGAAAAACAATTGTATGCTTACCTAGTCACTTCTGTTAATGTAGATAGGAAATATATTAAAAGCATTTGGAATTTATCCCTGAAATCTAGATTTAGATCATTTTTAATTTACAATAAAGCAAACTTGGCAGCCACATCCCTGCCATAGATGAAGAACTCTAGATTTTCCACACTAATGAAGAAGATCAGTGGTGTGGCTAATCCGGAATAATAGATAAATTATATAGCCAACTATCAATTGTCTGTGCTAATGGAGGGGACCAGCGATGTGAATAATCAAAATATAATTTACATTTAGCTTTGGAAAACATTTGTAGTACTATATAGCTCTGTGTAGTCACATCAGTCTAGACCATACAGCATCCACATAGGGGACCATGCAGGTGGTTAAATGGGTCTGAGGACCCCTCCCCTTCAGCTTCAGAAATCCAGCCCTACAGATATTATTATTGAATAGCTTCTTGTGAAAGACATTCTGAGGTGAACATTACATCACTCTTCCCTGATTCCACTCACTCTCTAGTTGGAGAGGGAAAGACAACAGTAGTCACTGCACGAAGATACTGCTCCAGCAGGGTTTGAAAAGGTGTGCAGGGGCAAGGAGAATTACAAGGTTATATTGAAGTGGGTATTACCTGAATGTATCAAGATCTCTAGTACCAATTTGCTCTTACTTTTTTATGGTTAGAATCTTTACTAGAAATAAAATTGCTTTACACATCACCATTATAGTACTAGAATATTCTGAATATGATGCTGTATTACTCATGCTATTGAGTTTTATGCCTTCATCTGTTTATTAATTAGCTATTTTTCATTTCAGTTATGATTAGAATCTTAGGCCCAAGTGTTCCTTAGGCCCAAGGGTATCCTTTCTCCGGGGAATGGGAACTTGGAGCTGGCATGGATAGCAGTTTATTAAAGTGTTTCTTAATGTTACCATATAGGTTTACCACATAACTTTTAGGATCAAAAAAAAGCACAAAATAATCCAGAAAGTCACAACAGAGTAAATCTAAAGATAGCAGAAGGAAGGGAATAATGAAGATAAGAACCAAAATTAAATAATTCTCTAGAAAAATACGTTAATGAAACTGACTCAAAAGAACAAATCAACTGAACCAGCACCATTAAAGAAGTTGAATAAGTAATCAAAAATTTCCCCGCTAACATCTACCAGACTTGGATAGTTTTCTAAGGCATGTTTTACCAAACCTTTATTCAGAAATAGATAATCCAAGGTAACACTACCCAACTTACTCTGTGAAGCTATTAAAACCCACAGCCAGTGGAAACAGCCCAAGTGCCCATCAATCCAAGAATGGATTAATAAAATGTGGTATATGTATACCATGGAGTACTATTCAGCTCTAAGAAACAATGGTGATATAGCACATCTTATATTTTCCTGGTTAGAGCTGGAACCCATACTACTAAGTGAAGTATCCCAAGAATGGAAAAACAAGCACCAGATATAATCTCTAGCAAACTAGTATTAACTGAGTAGCACCTAAGTGGACACATAGGTACTACAGTAATAGGGTATTGGGCAGGTGGGAGGGGGGAGGGGGGCGGGTATATACATACATAATGAGTGAGATGTGCACCATCTGGGGGATGGTCATGATGGAGACTCAGACTTTTAGGGGGAGGGGGGGAAATGGGCATTTATTGAAACCTTAAAATCTGTACCCCCATAATATGCCAAAATAAAAAAAAAACCACACACACACACACACAAAAAACCCACAGCCATTTCAAAATACTTACAGAATGATGCCATTTTTATGAAGTCTGAAAACTCCAAACTTACACTATTATTTATGGGAATATTAATATTAAGGGTATAAAAACACATGAGAATGGCAGACATCAACTTTATGACAGTATTAACTTCTGGAAAGAGAAGGAGATGAATGAGAAATGGGAAGGAGTTACACAGAGGATTTGACGTGTATCTGTAATGCTGTATTTCTTGGGAGGAAAAAATAGAAGTCAATTAAAATGTTTTGATTTTATATGAGTGATAAATACAGATGTTCTTTTTTTATACTTAAGTGTACATTTAGAATGATTCATAATCTTTTTAATTCTAAAAATTAAGTACATAAACATATGGCTACCAACTTGGTCAGATGTCTTAAAAGTACAAATCCAGTCTATAATGAGAAAGTTATGATGAATCAGCTAAATTTTATATGTCTGTTTCACATACTATCTAAAAGATATTCTAATTCTTCATTACATAGCTAAGAAATATTGAACATTTGTAAATAAATTTTGGGCAAGATGGCAGAAGGTAGAAATGGGAAAGTTCCAAAGGGAAGCCTCTTTCAAAGAAAAGATGTTTAAAACATGCCGAATGGATATTTATCAGAGATCATGATAAACAAAAGCCTGCTATATGAGGAGCTGTTTAGGCCAAAGGATTTGGATTTGGGAAATATCAGCTGTGGGGAGACCAGAGTCATGAGAATGGAGAGCTGTCCTAGGAGAATGAGGGAGAGTAGTGATCTCAGCTTGGATGGGGAGCAAGGAAAAGAGATATTTCCTTTGGAGTGTCTCAGAATTACCTCAGAACATTTCCAAACTAGACATAACTCACCACCACCTTATTCCCCACCATAATAATCACTACCCTTATAAGCAGTGAATGTTGAGTTAAAATAAGCTTTCAAACTATTTGTGTCTAGAGAAGGGAATAAAGGGCTAAGAATTTACACCCACATTTTGGGGATGGGAAGAAGAGTTGGGAGAAACACTTGATGGAAGTCTTTTGGAAGAGAAAACAAGCGAAGGACTAGTATTAACATAGGTCCAAATAAAATAAGCCCTCTAACAGAGGGGCAAGGTTGTTAACTCAGACTAGGGGAGGAATTTGGCAGAGAAGACTGCAAAAAGATAAGAAGAGTTCATAGGTAAAGAAGAAAGGGAAGAAAACCCAAGCCTGAAAAAATAACATTATAAGTGCAATAGGGTGTAGGGCTGGGTGACCCTCCTAGCACCCCAGCAAGGACTATGTGCTACAGCTACAGCTTGTGTTACCAGCAACATGGGGCTCATCTCTAATTAACATGGTCCTTCCCTACCATTCTTCATCATGTTCTAAAAACAAAATAAAAAATAAAAAAAAACATGGTCCTTCCCACCACAGTCAATGCTAGGAAAAAATAAAAAAGAATTAACATGATCCAGAATCTTGTAAAAAGGTTTTCTGAACAGTGTGACCTTGTGACATCATAATTTCAAATACAATTTGTAGGAATGTGAAGAAGAAATACCATATGATGAGTTTCCAAAATCACCATTCATCAACTACTATGATGACAAATATGAAATTCGAGAGAGAGAGAAGAGACTAAAACGAGAAATAAAAGGTATGTTACTAGACTTCTTATTAGATCACTTTTGCAGTACTTTCTAAATTTCTTTTTTTATACTGTCTTTGCCTTTGGGGGTCATTGGTTAGCATAGAAAATATTTTTAATAATTACCATAGAAACTAGAACTTTCTTGATCTCCAGAAACCAAGCACATACATCAGAAATCCACCATTGCATGTCTGGGCTGGGGGCGGGGGGAGAGCAAGCAAGAGAGAAAAAATGCTGTATTGGACTCTATTCACAATAAACATTTTCTCACATAGTGATCATTTTAGAATATGTCCAGAAAATACTGCTATCCATCTATGTATGCAGAGTTTTTAAAGGCTCCTTTGGCATTTTTTCTGTTGGAGAAGGAATTACTTTTTCCTTTTGTATGTCTCTAGTATTCTTCAAGGAAAGCAGCTTTCCTGCCCACTTATTTTTTTTTTGAGACAGGGTATTGCTCTGTCACCCAGGCTGGAGTGCAGTGGCACAATCATAGCTCACTGCAGCCTCAAAATCTTGGGCTCAGGATCCTCCTGCCTCAGCCTCTTGAGTGGCTGGGACTACAGGTATGTGCCACCACACCTGGCTATTTTTTAATTTTTTGTAGAAACAGGTTCTCGCTGTGTTACCCAGTCTGATCTCTAACTCCTGGCCTCAAGCAGTCAGTCCTCTAACCCCAGCCTCCTAAAATGCTGGGATTACAGGTATGAGCCACCATGCTACTCCAGTCATTTCTCATAGGCCACCATTGCAAGCAGAGCTCCACGTCCACAGCTGCCTCTGTGGGTTCTGTATTTACTATTGCTAACATAAAGTTCTTAATGACTAAATTAGTATCTTATCATTTAAGTTTACTTTCTCTAACTCTGTTCTTTCTTATTGTATACTTCAACATGGTTTTCCAAATTACCTTTCTTGCTTTCATTCAGGACAAAATAGTTCTGTGTTTTTTGAGTTGTTCTGTATATTGCTTTCTGACTTTTTTGCCCTTTTTGTTATTTTTTTCTGGACTTTCTCTTAGTTCATGTTCTTTTCAAAATGAAGTTACTAATTATGAGAAAAGTAGAGGAATTACTTCTCATAGCTCCTGCATATTTTACATATTATATTCAATAATTATCTATAGTTGTCCCTCGGTATTGGTTCCAGGATCCCTCTCATACACCAAAATCCATGCATCTCAAGTCCTACAGTTGTCTCTGCAGAACTTGAGTATACAAAAAGTCAGCCACCCATATACATGGGTTTCGCATTCTTCAAGTGCTGGGGGTTTTTTTGTTTGTTTGTGTGTTTTGTTTTGTTTTTTGTTTTTTTGAGACAGATCTTACTCTGTTGCCCAGGCTATAGTGCAGTGGCGTCGTCATAGCTCACTGTAACCTCAAACTCCCAGGCTCAAACAATGCTCTTGCCTGAGCCTCCTGAGCAGCTGGGACTACATGTGCACACCACCACGCACAGTTAATTTTTCTGTTTTTGGTAGAAACGGGGTCTCGCTGTATTGCTCAGGTTGGTCTCAAACTCCTCTCAAACAATCCTCCCACCTCAGCCTCCCAATGTACTATGATTATAGTCATGAGCCACCATGCCCGGCCTCAAATGCTATATTTTCAATCTGCTTTTGGTTGGGAAAAAATCACATATAAGTGGACCTATGTAGCTCAAACCCATGTTGTTCAAGGGTCAACTGTGTGGTGAAATCATAGTGCATGAGGATTATGATTAGATAACTTAATTAGATATACTTTTCTCTTTTTCCCAAGTTTTCCATAATGAGCAGTTATACCTTTCATAATCAGAGAAAAAAGTTTGTTTTCCTTTTTGGCTGGCTATATATCAACAACTCTGTAGCATAAATACACTTTCAGGTTCACTGTGATCCATTGAAATTTTTATTTAAGCTAAAAGTTTTTATTGACCACTTCTTGGCTCTTTCAAGATTCTGGTGACATGTCAGTTTTCATTTCTGACTGTAACCTCCTCTCCCACCTACCCCTATCAGAATCACTACCATCAGAGATTCATATTAAGTGTTGAGTCCTGACAAAATGTAACATCAGCTGTAGCACTGAAACCTCCAAAATGCATGTGTATGTACACACCTAAGCACATGCTCTGCAAATTCATGATCTAGACTCTGGGAGAATAATCTGGGTAGTTTGGTTCTGCCTGTAAGTACTGTGGCCAGGCTTTATCTTTAGAAAGTAATTGAAATGTCATATGAGACTGTCAAGGGCCATTTTATACATCTTGCTTGACCCTGTCTTCTAGGGCTGTCTCTTTATCACTAGAGAAACTTGAGTTGGTCAGACGTGACTTTTCTTCACAAAGCTAAAATAATTATTGTTCTTTCTGGTCCTCATCTTCATTGTTTAACCTAGTTAAACAAATAAAATAAATAGCTATCATTGGATTTCTGAATGTTTTCCACTTTTAGCAATCAGGAATATAGAACTACAACCATTCAATTTTGAATGAGTGATTTTATTTATTTATTTTTTTTATCTTAGTAAGGGTTCTTTAGAATGTCATTGTTTTTTGTTTTTTGGGTTTTTTTGAGACAGAGTCTTCCTTTATTGCCCAGGCTAGAGTGAGTGCTGTGGTGTCGGCCTAGCTCACAGCAACCTCAAACTCCTGGACTCAAGCAATCCTGCTGCCTCAGCCTCCCGAGTAGCTGGGACTATAGGCATGTGCCACCATGCCCGGCTAATTTTTTCTATATATACTAGTTGGCCAATTAATTTCTTTCTATTTATAGTAGAGACAGGGTCTTGCTCTTGCTCAGGTTGATTTCAAACTCCTGACCTCGAGCAATCCTCCCGCCTGGGCCTCCCGGAGTGCTAGGATTACAGGCATGAGTCACCGCGCCCGGCCTAGAATGTCATTGTTAACACATTTAAATGTCTAGCTTCCCTGTCTACTAAGTTATTTACAGACTTATGAAAGCTCAGCATGGACTGTATATAAATATGCAAAAATACTTTTATATTTTCTAGTACTCCGGAAACGTGGGCATATTCCAAGGCGGTTCACAGTATCTTCTTCGGAAAGAGCAGATGAGAGACCCCCCTATTATAGGAGGAAGAGCCATGCCTTGTGGAAGAGTAGCAGGTGGCCTCAAGAAGATAAAGAAATGATGTACAGGAATAGAGACCGTAAAAAACACCGGAAAGCTGACAGACATCGTGAAGTGGATGAGGATTTTCCCAGGGGCCCAAAAACTCACTCTTCTCCTGGCAGTATTAAAACTCGGAAGACTCATAAGTCCTTTCACTGTTCATCGCATTACCACAAATCAAGAGAAGACAAACTTCCCAAAGAGGGCAAGTGGGGCAAGCAGAAGAAAAAAGAGAGATACTTGGAAGAGGATGACAAAGATAATTTATTTCTTATTAAGCAGAGGAAAAAAAAAAACTAAGCCATACAACAGCCTCTAATTAGACTTTCCATTGTTCATTTGGTCTTTATAGCATTCTGCCAGTATATTTATTATTTATGGTTAAAGTGAAGTTTTTTTAATTTCAGCCATACCTAGAGTTTTGGAACAAAAACCATGGAGATCTCAGTTCTCTATGTCCAACAGATTATTTGTTAAGAAAATAGATAATCTTGGACTTCTCCTGTTCCAATGTTATTTTTACTCAGAATCCTAAGGATAAGAAAAATTCATCTTTTCAAGAAAACTTTTTACAAATACTTTGAAAAAAATAAAAGCTTATTGAATGTAATTCATCCACAATATAAGTATGAAAATTAAGCCCTGCTAGAAAGAGAAATTAACACTAATAAGAAATTTTCAATAGTCTTTTTCAGCATTTTTTTTAAACAGTGGAAAGGGGAATAGCTATAAATCTAAATTCAGCTTTTCTTTCTTCTGATACTGTTGTCAGAATCCTTCTTTGAACAGAACACCCACAAACTGTAAAAACAAAGGTATCATTGAAGCCCTGAAGAGGCAGGGAATTGGGCTGTAGCAAAATACAGATAAGGAATTCATCTAGTATAAATGCCACAAGACAGATTTCCTAAAACAAGTGAAACAGAGTCATCAAAAATTTTAACATAATCACAGTGAAATAGTTTCTTATTATTTTTACAGCCACATTTCAAGAAGACTCAGATCTGTACAGAAGAATGTTACCCAAATTAAAACATTGTTTTGTTTTATGGATTTTTTAACTGCCACAAAGCTGTATAGAATTTTTGTACTTGTGAACCTTTTGTGCTTATCAAAGCCTAATGTTTGAATAAAAAAAATAAAATGTCTGAAATAGAGTAAATAAATGTGTCTGTTATATAAGAAGACAATGAGAGTTCGGGCCACATGGGGCATAGCTGTGTTGGATAGGCGACTAAAGTTATAACATCACCATAAACTGGAGTAGAAAATGCCCATGTTGCCCAAGCACAGGCTCTCTGCCAGAATAAAATGGAATAGAGTCAGTTAAATAGGACAATTTTATAATGTTGGATTCTTAAATTTGTATTTTACTCTTTGGGGAAGTATGCAAACTGCTATACATCTAATAGGACAAGCTCTCTCATGGGGGGGGGGTAGGGAGAATTAATTCTCTCCTCCCATGTCAGCTCTAATGTAAATTGTAGGCCTACAATCTTTAGTCTGAAATCTTTAGATTTCAGCTAAGTTTATTGTATATTGGTGTATGGCTTCCTAACATAAGCTCAGGTTGTTTTGACCCTAAGGTAAGCAACCAGGGTTTTTCAACACCCAGCTAAAAGTGACAGCCATATAAAACAGCTTCATGAAAGTGGTAAACCTTAAGATTATTGGCATTATTCCTCAATAGGACCTGACAAATGTGGCTTATTGTTGATCCTGTGTAGCAAGCACTCCTGATCTTAGGGCATCTCCTCTCGGGGCAGAAGTGGGATTGCCATTCTTTAGATTCTTTTATACATATTAGGTTGTTTGGAGGAAGAAAGAAAGGAAACACTTTTTTTCTGTCTCTGCACACAATCTTATTTTTCCCAAAACCTTTTATTTTTTGTTAGACATTTTGTTCAGATAGGAAAGGAGGCTGAGCTACTTCATCTGTGGCCATTAGGATGCAGTCTCTATTTCCTGGTACAGGAAGAACAGGAACACAGAGGAGCCTCTGCTCCGTTTCCTCTCTATTTCCCTTGCGGCCCTGGCTCTTACACCAGGTATTCAGTTGAGGTTAGTCAGTCAGTCACTTAGTTTATGGACTCGAATTCTTTCCATACAAGAATGGAGAGCTCAAAATATATTAATATATAGATTCAACAGTTAATAACACTTTACATGGATAAAGAAAAGAGAAGAAAAACAGATGTCCAAAACAATAAAGAGCCATATAGTTGCTAGGATTGAGAAGACTAAATGTCTTTTGCCTTTGGCCCCACTTTCATTTGAAGCAGCTTGAGTGGCTCCTTTCCTGGGCTCTCATTTTAAAGGGGAAAAAAAGGAAAAACATAAAAATACATGTATAATTTTTTAAAAATCATTCATGATTTTTCCACCCAAAAAATATGGTTAAAATTCTTAGAGTCTATCTTTCCAGATGTTTTTCTATACCTGTGTATACACTGTTTTGTAACCTATTTTTTTAATTGGGAAAATCTTATTAAAATATGTCTACATTTTTACATAATTTCCTATTATGGCTATACCATAATTTAATAAGCTCCCTACTGTTGAACATTTTGGTTGTTTCTGATATTATTTAAACAAAAATCCTTCTACATCATATCTTCTCCATTCATTTGTGATAAAATGGCATTTAGGGTCAAAGAGCATACATGTATTTCATGAAAATTTTAGTACATATTACCAAATTATATTCCCCAAAAGCCAGATTTTCCTCCAGTCATTTATATATCCCTGGCAGTCTGTGCGTGTTCATCTCCTCACTCCCACAATAGCATGGAATATTATTATTCCTTTTTCCCTCTGCTACTGTGGCAAAGAAACATTCCTTAGTGCTGCAGTGAAAAGATTGATGTAGACTATGTTTGTGTAAGGAGAGACAGGATTAACAATATAGGAATAATCTGTTGGTAAAAGATTTGGAGAGAAGCTTCTTACAAGAAACAACTGGAAATTCAAAATAAGAAAGCCTTTTATTTCTTTGTAGCCATCTTGATCCCCTGATCTTATGCTTTGCCTTCACAACAAAAAGAGTGTGCTGCTGGCATCAGGGAATAGAGGCCAGAGATGTTGCTATACTTCCTGCAATGCATGGAATAGACACAACAAGAAATTATCTGGTCCACGTGTCTATAGTGCCAAGGTTGAGAAACTTATTGAAACCCTGACCCATTTCTCAAAAGGAATTCTGTTCATTGGGAGGGAGTGCAGATTGCCTTCCACATCTGATAGGATGTACCCTTGTCGTACAAGGCTTAGCATTTCATCTTTTGGCTGGTGTTTGAGAGATTGGTTGGGCATGTCCCCTTCACCTGAAATAAGGAACACTAGTTCCATGGCATGAATATCTGTAGACCATTTGGACCACTTTGTGGAAGGACAGGGCTACTGGAGACTCAGCCAATTGAGGGGAATTAGTAGTATCACTAGGAATTATGGGATACATACTCCAGGGCACTGGACTAGGATGTGAGTACTGTCAAGGTAAATCCAGAATTGTGCTGTGAGAACAAAGGGAGTCAGCTAGTTGGGGAAGGAAAGAGGTGGAGGCGAGTAAGACATGACTGGATAAGAATTGCATTACATTGTAGAACCCATCACCAGGACCCCAGTTCAGCAGATCCTTAAGTCTTACAGCCACACTTTCCATTTCAAATAAGCGTCAACTGTTGAAAGACATGACATATTATGCAGCCAGGGATAGAATCACACAATGAAGCTGGTTAGTGCGTGATTTAGACCAAAAGTTTCACGATTGCTGTCTCCAGAGAACTTAAGTTTCTGGTTCTTTTAATGTATACAATGGATGTTGTACATACCCATTCCTAACAATTGTGAAATAACTCAGTTCTTAAAGTGATTTACTAGGCAGTGATTCCAAGAAAATCCAGTAAAGGAGTGGGGAAGTGGGACAGGGAAAAGAAGAGAAGAAGTCAAGCTGGATGCTTTATCAAGTGAAGTCCCATGGAGGGGAATTTTAGACTCACAGGGAGCACTAGAGACAGTGTAGGCCACTTTAATCAGGAACGAGAGAGAGAGTGAGAGAGAGTGTGTGTGTGTGTGTGTGTGTGTGTTTTAATTAGTCACTGTTTAGAAGCTGCCCCTGAGGGCCTTTCCCAGTCAACCCTGGCTCTTTATACACCCTGGCAAATTGGGTTTGGGTAGTAGAGGGTAGCCCCCTGACAGAGGACAGGGATATGAATGAAACAAACACACCATCTGCTGCAGCCATAATCTCAGACCAGTTTCCATAAAAGGATACATTAGCAATCTTACACCAATGGATTTTTTTAAATGATTTTTTTTTTTAAGGCTGGCCAGGTGAAGCAGTGGGAGTGGAAAAGGAACAAAGGAATCTGTAACTGTTTGTGATCAATTAGTTGTAAACACCACTGCACTTGGACCAACCTGAAATGATTTTTGAATGCAGAAAAATACCACTTTATTTTGTTGTATATAATCATTTTATCAAGAGTCGTCAATTTAAGGTATGATAGTGCAACATGGGGTTCAACTTTATTGAACTTTAATTATTTATCAACTTTATTGCATTTATCACAGTCATCAAAAGTAGTTTGGAGAGTTTCCACTTCCAGCCACAATTGGAGTAATTGGGACCATATTTACCCCCCTCCTGGAACAAAGTAAAAAAAAAAAGTGAAACCATTTTCAAGACGTTGATTATCAGAGAAGGAGGCACAGTGAACTGGGAAACGTCAAACATGTGAGGTGTGCCCTCTGATGGCGCCAACTGACTGCTTGGAGATTATCCCAATTCAAAAGCAAGGATGGGGGAACCCAGGAAGAGCTAGTGGGCTCCCTGAGTTGAAGCAGAGCTGGGAGTCTGCAAAGCCAAAGTGGCTACAGGTTGTGTGTCCGAATAGCAGAGAGGAGAGAGCTGCGTGGACAGAGAACCCCGACACCTGCGCAGGGTTCCCTAGAGTCTTCGGCTGAGTACTGATCGGTACCCATGTGTGAGCAAACCACCTGGAAGAAAACTGTTTTTGGAGTTCACACAAAGCCAAAAATAGCTCTGTTCTCTCCAATCAGAGTGGAAAACCTCTTAGTGGAAAGGTTTTGCCTCAGTAATGAGGAAAAATTAGCCCAAGTCTAAACTCTTCCCTGGCTCTTCCTGACACTTAAAAGCAAGATCTGAAAGTCAAGTTGTTTCCAGATCTTAAATTCCAAGAATAAAGCTCAAAGATATTTGTAGGAATACAAAAATATTCAGCACCCAATAAGGTAAAATTCACTGTGGAATACTATTAAAAATGCAAATTAATCTATAGTGACAGCAGATCAGTGGTTTCTGGGCTGGGGTGGTTGGGAGGAGCAGGAGGTAGGGATCACGAAGGGGCACAGAAGCATGGAGTGATGGATACAGTTGTCCCTCGGTATCCATGGGGAACTGGTTCTGGGACCCACTGTGGATACCAAAATACACAGATCCAAAATCTGAGGATTCTCGAGCCCCTGATACAAGATGGTGTGGTATTTGCATACAACAACACACATCCTCTCATATACTATCTAATACAATATGAATGCTGTGTAAATAGTTTGCTATATTTTCATTTGTATTTTTTATTATAATTTTTAAAGATATTTTCTGTCTGTAGTTGGTTGAGTCTGGATGCAGACCCCTCAGATATGGAGGGCCAACTGTATGTTCATTATCTTGATTGTGGTGATGATTTCACGGGTTTATACATATTAATATACCAAAAAAAGTCTAGTTTTACATCAGTAATCTATTGGAAACATTTTAATGTTTTTTTTCACTGAATGGGGAATATTCTTAAAATACTGAGTGAAGTCAAGGCTCAGTAGTCCATAGGTCATCTTCAGTTCTGTTTTCTGCTTTGCCCATGTAGGGCCAAGAAGAAGACTGTGATCACAAGGCAAGTATCCAGCAGTAGGGGCCTGGAGGAGGTGGCTTGCTGACCTCTCAGGCCTAAGCAGTCGGACCTTTATCCTAAGAGGCATGCTGGTGAAAACTGTGGGCACCAGCATTTGGGAGCCATGGCCCACAGGCTGAAGTCTAACTTCTGACCCAGAGTTCAAAGCCTTTCTAGCTTCATGTTCTGCAGTTATTCACTCTTCTCTCCCCTCTGTCCCTTTCCTTCTGTCCAGTTCCACTGGCCGAATGACTAGTCCTAGATAGGTCATGCTTTACTTCCGTGCCTTGTCCTATGCTGTCGCCTCTTCCCAGAATATCCAGTTCCACTTCTGTGACCACTCTCAGACTACATTAACCCTTACCTCTTTGGTATTCCTGTTGCCATTCTAGTGATTTATTCAACATTTACCACGGACTTTCTTCGTGCCAGATAGTATTCTTGCGTGAGGTTGACTTTATGAAATATGGAAAAATCTCAAGCGTCAGGAACTAACAAGCAATTGAAGAGACACACAGAAAACAATACTTTGTCCGAGAGGTGAGGAGTGCGGTGAGAGGCGTGGGTATGATGGTAACACCAAGGAAGTGTGGCTGGTCCTGCCAGACAGAGTTAAGGGAGACTGGGCAGGACGTTCCAATGGGTCTTCTGGGTCTTCATAATAGAAGAAAACTTTTCCAGGTTAATGAAAGGGGAAGAGCCACTCTAAGAGAAGGAGCCATGTGTATAAATGCATGGAGCTGTGAAACAGCAAGGATGCGTTAGTGTCCTGGGACTACCAAATGAACTACCATGAATGGGATGGCTGAAAACAGAAATTTGTTTTCTCACAGTTCTGGAGGCCAGAAGTCCATAATCAAGGTGGCAGCGGGGTTGGTTTCTCGCTGCTGTGAGAGAGAACTCATTCCATGCCTCTCTTCTAGCTTCTGGAGCCTGACTGGCAATCGTTGGCATGACTTGACTTGTAGATTTGGCTTGTTTAACTCCAATCTCTGCCTCCGTCTTCACATAGCATTTTCCTCTGTCTCTGTGTCTTGGTTTTTATGGCTAACCCTAAATTCAGGATAATTTTAACCCAAGACCCTTAATTAATTTTATTGCAAAGACCTCATTTCCAAATAAGGTACCATTCACAGGTGCCAGGGTTAAGACATGTTTTTGTGGAACACTATGCAGCCCACTGCCTGCCCCAAGAACTGTAAGCAGAATTGCTTTACCAAGTTGCATTTTGGTTTTATTCCAAGCTTATATTGTGTGATGCAGCCTTCTATGTGTTATTGTTCTCTGTTTGACTTTACCTTTTTTTTTTTTTTTTTTGGAGACATTCTCACTCTGTTGCCCAGGCTGGAGTGCAGTGGCACAATCGAACTCACTGCAGCCTCCAACTCCTAGGCTCAAGTGATCCTCCATCCTCCTGCCTCAGCCTCCCGAGTACTGGTGGTACAGGTATGC